GAACCGCCATTATTTTGGTAGCAAATACGCATGCGCAACTCAGTCAAACTCGCACTGCGCACGCGCAGACTATAAAAATAGATTCTCGCTGGGGGGTTTCCCCGATTTCCTCCGCAAAAACAACAAAATAAAATCACAGAATACTGATCAAACCTTGTAATATAAATACACCCACATTAAATATTGTTAAAACACACATTGTATATTTTGCTTGCTCATATGCTAAATCACTTCAATTCATTGGCTATTGTTTCAAAATACCGTTTTAACGTTTAATTCTACTTTATATTAACATCCTAATTCAATACAAATTTGTGTGAGGTAAAAAACCCACCTGTATCAAACAGGACGGAGAATAAAAAATATATATGCATACAATTCACACGATCAAGGAACAATTAAAATGAAATATTTGTGAAACACTCTTTATCCGTTTGCCGACGCTGATAAGACAATATGACATACCGAAAGATTGGAAAGACAAATAATATGATAACAGTGTTTCCAAGTTCATCCCGGGCTTTAAGAATTAAGGGATATTTATATAAACTCGAAATTCATAAAAAAAAAAAAATTAGGAGGAAATATAAAATCCATAATTTCATTATAGCTATCTATAATTGAAAGAAATGTTTTCATCTTTGAACCCAGATTTTCATCAGAGCAATAAAATCCCGTTTATTGGATCCTGGCCAAGGGCTTGCACGCTCAAAACGAGATTGCACTATTTCATTCTATTTGAACTATTTCATGTATTATATTTATATTGTGACATAAGTTGGTATTTAGCCACTATCTAGAATAACAAGCAACGATTCAGCCTCATTTTTCGTGTCCACACTAGTTGACTTTTTCTTATAGATTTGCTGCTGTGAGTTTCAGCTCCTCCACCAGGGTGCGTTTTAGCTTCTCAGACATGACTATACTGTTAACCCTGTCCATGAGAGGGATATATGTGTTGATAATATAAATACTGTGGATCCGAATGAGAATATCGAATAAGTAAATAAATACTGATCTACTCCACTGATAATACCTACATGCATTACCATCATTGTTCACCTCAAATCATTAATAATTCATGAGCAAATTAGCCAACCATATTGCTTTATTTTGCTCACATGATAATACTGGATACTTTATGAAGTATATTGATCCTGTAGTGTCCTAGGACTGGATAAAAATTAATTAAGTAGTGATTTATTTGTGATGTCATTTCAAATCCTCCAATTCGGACTGGGCTAGATTTCAAGTCCTCACATTTTGATCCAGTCCTCTGCTTCGCCTCGGACATGATCAAATTGCGTGTACTTGAAATCTAGTCCAGTCCTCATAGTCGGATTTGAAATATCCATTGTCAAATCAGATGCCAATGGTGGCCAAAGAAGATTCAGTTTTAGTATTTCTTGCACCTTTTGGTGAAGAATGAATACAGCATTGTATAGAATTTGTAACTCATTGACTTTAGAATTTCCCTCAGTTTCTGTGTTGGAATTCACATCATCATCATCAATGGTACAGCTCTCTTCATCAAAGTCCTCATCATTGTTTTCAGACTTAGGGCCTGTTTATATGGAAGCCGGGCTGGCCTGATAAGCGAGACAGCCTGGTAAGCAAGATCTCGCTGTGTAGTTATTTTATAGTAAAAATTATCATGCGTTTATATGGACAAGCAGGCTGGCCCGGGTTGCCGAGATCTCGTTTGAAAGAGGCTAGATCTCGCTTACCGGGATGGAAATTTCTCCATATAAACATTTACAAGCGGGCTATCCTGGTTGCCAGGATGAAAGTTCAAAGATACCGCCGCAAGCTATTTTTAACAACTGTCAAAACAATACAATGTAACAAAATTGTCCTGGCAAGCGGGATGAAAGTTTCTCATATAAACACAAGAGAAATTCATCCGCTTACCGGGCTGTCTTGCTAAGCGGGCCATTCCGGCTTCCATATAAACAGGCCATTAATTGACATATGTTCCTCAACCAATTCAGAAGAATCCAAATTTTCCACATATACAATCTCACTAACATTTCTCATTTTCGGTACACAGAACACAAGTTGGGGATAACTTTTCATCAGTCGTTGCTTGAGTTTAAAAGCTCTATATTTAGATGCATCCACATTCTCAGTGTCCTTAGCAATGATAACAAATTTCTCCAGCAAATCTTTCATATACTTTATTTGCTTATTTCTGATGACCTCCATCTCAATTACTTTCTTACAGAAATATACATCATAAGACTTCTCGTACACTGATGCTCTCGTTGCTTCTTCGTCTCTCTGGTGAGAAATATTGTATAATTGCAGTAGCAAACTTTGTGATAGCGGATTTCCAGAGCTACACAGTTTTTCCCCTGGATTTGCATGAGTATCTGTTGATCATTCTTTCTCTCGGCAGCTGTACGTAGAAGACCAGCATCAATTGTTTTTGCCAACATGAGTGGGGTTCTTCTTCTCTTCTTAGTTACCTGGTGTGAAACAAAATAAATTATTAAACTAAATATCTGCTAATAACAAGGTTGGATGTTTGTAGCATAGAAACTACTTTACCCTAAATAAACTTAATTGATCACAATTCAATATATTTTAAAACCAAACCTGAGAATGTTGTGCACATTGCGCTAGTATTATACCTATCAAAATGACCATACCTTGTCCAGTGAGAACCACGAGGCGTCTCTTCCACAAATATAACATATCTCTGGGAGTACATGCGCGTTTCTTTTAGGCAGGGCCTTTATATTTATAGCTTCTGCGACTGATTGACGTGTAATTTTTCGCCTTGGTTCTATTGCCTCCACTTCCACGTGTGATTCTTCGGTAGAAGTTATAGTTTTAGAGCTAGTTCCTTCTCCTTTTTCTTCTTTTCTCTGTTATCTACGGATCTTCGGTTCATCGCAAAATCTCTTCTAGCATTTCATATGATGGTTCCATTCTAAGTTAATGGTGTCAGAGTTCTTCTCGATGTATGAATTGACAGATCCGTCATCGATGTTCTCGTACGATTTCTTAGCTATTTCAGCTTGTTGACACTTAAGTTTGGCCCATTTTGACCTACACTCAAGAAATTTCTTAAGCCTTTGGCGTGTAACTTTGCGAAGTTGCTCCGTAACGCCATCAAAATGCATAAAACATGAGGATATTCGAGTTTTATAAATATCTTCAGCCATGTTTATTTGCATAACTGAGCGTGTTTCCACTTCGAAGCATGTGCGTTGGTTGTGCGCGTGCGCAGTGCGAGTTTGGCTGAGTTGCGCATGCGTATTTGCTATCAAAACAATGGCGGTTCGAATATTTCGAAGCGCGAAAATATCAAACGTTGGAGGGATTTTTCTCCCAATTGTGCACCTGTTTCGCTTGGGGAGCAACGGGTTCTGATAAAGTAAGTTTTTATCTATTTATTCATGTGAAAATTACGTAGTTCTACGAGGGGTGCAACGGAATCCGTTTTCTAAGCATCTTTTGGATGCTCATCCCACGGCCTACAGGACATTCTTCGTTTTTCCAATAAAAACAAACACGTGAATTATATGCCATGCCATGATTTATGCATGCTGTTTTGCACGCATGCATATTCAAATATTGGGAGGCAAAATTTGTCACAATCTTCAACCTACAAAGCCTTTTAAAGAGTCATGAAATGTCTACAATGCCGTATTTGTATTAAAAGTATTTAATTCTAAACTTACCAGCTAAAAATTTGTGGAAAACTTTTACAATGTTTTACTGTAGTCGACACTACAAAAAACAGCCCTGATATTCACCATCGCAACTTGGCTATGGTTGGAAAAAAGTAGTCTAGATACTCCATAGATAATTTATATACACTAGCAGGGCTCAATATAACGGCCGATAGGTTTCCGGTCAAAATGACCGGTCAACTTGATTTTAGCTCGGTCAAAATGTGTTTTTGACCAGTCACTAATACTCATGCACTAACAGTGAAAAAAAGAAAATTTTCTTCGCTGTAACCTGGTGTTTTATCTCAGCAAGCCACAGAGCATACATTGCAAATTGGAGTCTTGCAAAAAATGCAGAGGTATTTGATGTTTTTTTCTGTCCACACTTCGTACAATCCATGATCGCCCAAATCCAGACGATAAGAGAAGAATTAGTCAAGTGGTGCTACCCCAAAAAAAAACACAAAAAAAACAAAAAAAACGCTGATTCGTTAAGCGACGAAGAGTCTGGAATTTTTGGGAGTTAGGTAACATCGAGTAGAATTTGAATTCGAGTTCGGCTTCGAGTTGGACTTCGAGTTAAACTTCGAGTTGGATATTTCTTCTTTACTTTTCGGGAAAATGACAATTGTATTTCACCCAACCTTTTTTGCTGCGGAGCGAGCGAGCCTGAACCAAATTTACACATATGGGGGAATTTTATCTTAAACCATTGTTTAATATTGTAGCTGTAGGCCTACATTGTGGTCGTGCACGATCGGAAATGCTCAGTAACCTTTTTGTCGGTTGTGCTTCCACAACACGCACCAAACCCCTGCAGATATCCGCACCAAACGCCTGCAGATGTCCATCAAGTGTTTATTTTCTTTGTTATTTTTACTAACGACTATATAATAAAAAGAACATTAAATACAAAGTTTCATATCTTATTATTATTTTATCTTCTCGTGGTGAAAACTGAAAACAATATTTTTTACTCACTCAAACGTAAAATTTATATCTTCGCACCGCCTTTCCCTTTTTCAGCCCCCTCCCCGGCCCCCCTCTCCCACTGGAGCTGCGGAGAAACAGCAGACTAATCTCAGAGGCAGTACCATTCTCGTACCCAGAGCCCTTCTTACGCGCGGTCAGCGGAGCGCGACGTGGGGCTCTGGCCAAATCCATATCAAACTGACATCTGATTGGCTACAACGAAGGTTAGTGTTCTAATACGCACGACACAGTACAGACGTGCTATTTAGACGAAGGTTAGTGTTCTAGTACGCACGACACAGTACAGACGTGCTACTTTTTGCTCCGTGCTTTCACAAAATATTTGAAATGCCAGAGACAGTTAAGTCTCTTAAAAAGCAAAACGATTTATTGAAAAGCCATCTCGATCAATTGAGAGGAGAATTCAAAACTTTCCAAAATGATACCATGGCGCAGCTACAACATGTACCCGTTGATGGCATGAGAACTTCCTCTCCCAGCCCTGATGCTGAAACTACGAAAAGCCTAAACTTTCTAAGCAGCGAATATGACGACTTTAGTCGATTCCGTTCAACTGCCGAGAAAGAATTCAAACGTCTCAACAATTGCCTCGAAGATCTGGTTGGTCGTTCAAGCGAAGTCTCGGATGCTATAGAAGCAATGCAGGCATACAGTTATCAGTACAATGTAAAGATACTTGGTCTCCCAGAGTTATACGATCAAAGGAAAAACGAATCGGCGATGGATTCTACAAACTTGTGCATTAGTCTTTTCAAAGCGATGGGTGTGCAAGTAAAGGATTACGACATCGCCCATCGGATTCAAATGCGAAACGCCTCGGCTGGTCCAAGACCCATCATCTGCAAATTTGTCCGTAGACTTATAAAGAACCAAGTTATAGACAATCGGAAAGAAGCACCCAACGTGAATCCTGAAAATATTGGCCTTCCACCTAACGCTGATTTAACTAGGATACTCGTTGTGGAACATCTCACACCTAAAGCGCAGAATCTCCTCTATGAGGCGAAGCGTCTGCAAGGGCAGTTAAAATTCAAGTTCTGTTGGGTGAAAAATTCCCAGATCTATCTCAGAAAATCTGAAGACACCGAGGCTATTCGCATTCACAGTCTGGCAGATCTAACCAGAATGCAAACCGATGAGAGATAAGTTATATACATTGCTTATACATTTATTTAGTCATTTACTATATTACACTTAAATATGGCTTACAATGTAAACGATAATTTCCTAAACGCCCTTCCCTTTTACCACTTAGACGATTGCTCTTTTAACGCAGTAATGCATGAAATGGCCCATGGTCCTCTGCATTATGATGTTGATCGCCTTGATACGCTACTGTTTAATCCAATTAATCAATCCCATATCGGTGATTTATTAGATAATGTAGACCCTGATGTCAATTTTTCGATGCGCCCTCCTACTAGCAGTTATATGGTCCAGGACGAAGTCAATGCAGTATTTAAATCTAAACAATCAATCTTAGGGTTTTCAGTCTTTCACGTTAACATTCGGAGTTTACTTGGCAAGCTTGACGATATAAAATCCCTGGTAGCAAATATGCACCAACCTTTCTCAGTGATAGGTATATCTGAAACTTGGTTAAACGACACTACACAAGACTTAGTTAATCTCCCTGGATACAGTTTTTTATCCAATCATAGAACTACCAAACCCGGTGGTGGCGTTGGATTATATTTGCAGAATGATTTTGAATATAAAGTACTTCCAGAATCTAATTTTTCCGATCCTGATGTAATTGAGTCGTTATTTGTTGAAATCAATGTCCCTAATGGGAAAAACATTATAGTGGGTACATTCTATCGTCCACCAAACCAACATCTACCGTTATTTTTGGAAAAGTTCAACCAAATCCTCATAAACATTTCAAAATATGATAAGCACTGTTATATAATGGGTGATTACAACATAGACATGTTCCGCTTAAATGAACATGCTCCCACTCAAGAATTTGTCGATTGCCTTTTCTCGCATATGTTTTACCCCCTTATAAATCGACCGACACGAATCACTGCACATTCTGCAACACTAATTGACAATATTTTTACTAATCATTTAACACAGAATTTGTTAAGTGGCATTCTTATAAATGATGCATCTGATCACTTACCCGTCTTGGCCTTCGTACTTAACGAAACTATACCAAGCCAATGCTGCGAGAAGACCGTTGTCCGAGACTTTAGTGAAAACAATATAATTAACTTTCGCACACATCTAACTCATCTAAACTGGTCTAGTCTTCTTGTGGACACAGACCCAAATGAATCATACAACGCTTTCTCAATAGAGTTTTTAAATATATATGATCAAAACTTTCCAACTAAAATAATTAAACCTAAGAAATATAAAAATTCTTTAGCACCTTGGATGACAAAAGCATTATCAATCTCTATTAGGAAAAAGAATGAGCTATATAAAAAATTCCTTACGTCACAAAACTCGCTGCACGAATCCCTTTATAAAAAATATAAAAATAAGTTGATTCATTTAATTAAGATAGCTAAAAAACAGTATTACGAGGAAAAATTTGAGGAAGTGAAGTATAATCACAAAGCAACTTGGAGACTAATAAACAAAGTCATTAATAAACGCAAACCGAGACCATCGTTCCCCTCTTCATTTAAATCAGGTAATAATATCTTATCCGATCCTTCAGATATAGCAAACTCATTCTGTAAATATTTTACGAATGTCGGGCCAGACCTTGCAAGAAAGATTCCCAACACTAACATTTCTTTTCACTCCTTCTTAAATTCAGGTTGCAATGAAACGATTTTCCTTCGGCCTACAAATGCAAATGAATTACAGGAAATCTGCAATTTATTTAAGACAGGAAAATCCCCTGGTTATGATAATATTTCTATGTATGTTATAAAACGATCTTTCGACCTACTTGCCGAACCACTTGCAAATATCATAAATTTTTCTTTGTCTACGGGAATATTTCCAAATAAATTGAAGATTGCTAAAATTATCCCAGCTTTTAAAACTGGAGAACAAAATTCTTTCACAAATTACAGACCTATATCAATCCTAACTAACTTCTCAAAATTTTTTGAAAAAGTCGTGCAAAAAAGACTAATCTCATTCATTGAACGTCATGAGATCTTATATAAATTTCAGTTTGGTTTCCGTAGTAAGCACTCTACTTCCCATTCGCTCATTTCATTAGTTAACAATATTGCATCGGACATCGACCGAGATCATATAGCTGCTGGTGTATTTATTGATCTTTCGAAAGCTTTTGATACGCTAGACCACCAAGTTTTACTTTCAAAATTGGAGTACTATGGTATCCGAGGTGTGGCCTTGCAGTGGATCAGAAGCTATTTGTTAAATCGTGAGCAATTTGTACAATTTAGATACACTTGCTCGTCCTTCAATAAAATAAAATGTGGTGTACCTCAGGGATCAATACTAGGTCCGCTACTCTTTATTTTATATATAAATGATCTCCCAAATGCATTGGAATTGGCCAAATCGTTTCTTTTTGCTGATGACACAAGCGTATATTATTCACATCTGGATATTAAAAATCTCGAGATTATCTTAAATCGTGAACTGGCAAACCTAGATGTTTGGATGAAATCAAACAAATTATCTGTAAATATTAGTAAAACTAATTATGTTATCTTTCGGCCCAGACAAAGAAAATTTAATATAAATTTATGTCTCCAGTACAACAATCAAACCCTAACCCAGAGGCAATGTATCAAATTCTTAGGTGTGTATATTGATGAGAATTTGTCGTGGAAAATTCACATAAATAATATTTGTAAAAAGATAGCGAAATCTGTTGGAATTATCTACAGGTCTCGCCATCTTTTATCACCTACAACAAAGTTATGCTTATATTATACTCTTATATATCCTTATCTAACCTATTGTAATATTGTATGGTCCTCTACTTATGTAACCAATCTAAACAGAATATATCTTCTACAAAAAAGGGTTGTAAGAGCTCTGACGAACTCTGACTACTGTGCCCACTCCTCTCCGTTATTCTATCAGTTAAAAATATTAGATATATTTAAATTGAATTCCTTTTACATAGGTAAATTTATGTATAAATACCACTATCACTTGCTACCTGAATGTTTCGATAACTTATTTATCACAAACAATCAAGTACATAGCTATAACACTAGATCGGCTACATATTACAGACCTCACGCGTGTCGGACAAACATAAAGCAATTTACTATTCTTTCTGTTGGTCCGAATACATGGAATTCTTTTCCACCATATATTACGGCTAAAACCACCATTTCCTCTTTCAAGAATCAATTATGCATATTCCTACTTGAAAATTATAATATCGCATAGACGTCGAAATCGACATGTTTTAGTTAACTTGTATATTATGTAGTAATGTATGTGTGTTTTGAACTTGTACAACGATATGATCTTAATTATTCTGAGTTATCACAGTGAACTAGGGGGCCTCGTGACGACTGTCACTAGACCTCCTCTTCACTCAATTTATTTATTACAAAATTATTTTAACAAATGAGATGGCCTCTTAATATAAGCCTTTTAGCTTCTTGAGGTCTTCTCGCTACTGCTCAACTTTGATACTCAAACTACAATTAATGTAAATATCTATATTCTTGTTGTGTTGTGGCAAATAAATGATGATGATGATGATGATATTCTATTACCATGTTTTTATGATATCCGGTTATGGATTTGGCCAGAGCCTCTCGTCATACCGTGCGTAAGAAGGGCTCTGGGTACGAGAATGAGGCAGTGCTGAATGCTGATCAGTCTGCTATCGCATACTATACGCTGTCTCCGTACCCAGGCATCTCTTTGTAAAAAAACAGCGATGCGCATATGACGAATTCGCATGAAGTATTGTACTACTACGCCGCCGTCTAACATGCATCCTCTATATAGTACTCTCCTTGACCTTTCAATATTAATAATGCAACATATCCTCACACGTAGTATTAGGGAGGCTGGGCGGGAATATTAAAAAAAGGTAGTCATTTTTAGATTAGGTTTAGATTAGAGCCCGATTAAGATTAAACCAGGGTTAGGGTTAGAGGTGGGGTTGGCTGGGGGGTTAGGGTTCAACTTACAGTAATATAAGGCATATCTTTCATCTTTAGAAAATTTGACAATTAAGGATAATCCCTAATATTACATGTGAAGATATGCAGAATAGTACTAATAGTTTCGAATACACATTTTAAATGAATTTTAATTTATTGTTTTCCAAAATACACATAGTAATTACTGTATAAGATGGACAACAAAGTGCATTATAAAAACGATTTATAATAAAGTAAATTTACATTGCTACGTTTCATTCTCCATACGGCATACTTTATTTATAAACATAATAAAACGTGTTTGAAGTTGCAAAGAAGTAAACATGAATTGGAGTTGTTCGGAAATTACCAGAACATTCGGAAACGCCAGTGTATAAGTAACTCGAAGTTTAACTCTAACTCGAATCCAACTCGATGTTTTGGGATTCCCGGAATTTTTACTTGAAGCCAATCACTTTTGAGAAAAATCTGAGTAAACAACCTAATTAGAACAATTAGAACAAAATCGAAACCTTTCAAGTTCAGCATATACAATGTTTTTGTCGTACGTAGCTCGACATACTTACGGTGAAATTGCATACTCGAGATGAAATATACAGTTTTTCTCTGACAATATTTCAGCAGACATCATATGCTGAGGAGAAAAAACGATTTAAAATTCTAGGGAAAGGTATGAAAATGTGGCCGGTCAAAATGACCGGTGAGGTAAAAAAAGTGAACGGTCAAGAGGCCATCTTGGCCGGTCATTGTCCGTTGACCGTCCGTTATATTGAGCCCCGACTAGATAGTGCATCTAATTATTCTGCATTTCAAAAATTGAAGCTGTGATTGCAGTCTCAGGTCATTAGCATGAAATGATAAGATTCGTATGTTTTCTATTTCTTAAACAGGGAGTAAACCCTATTCCAAATACTTTTTAAACTATTCAAATGATGAAAGTTATTGATGTTTTTAAGCGTTTATTAGCAAGTGGGAACAACCAACATGGCCGCCATCTATTCAAATGGGGGTAACCGCTGGAATATTCTTAGCTTCAATTTTACTTATAAGTGATGCGCTAGCTAGTGTATATAAGATATCTATGAGATACTCGACCCAGTTCTCCAACCTGTCCCCGTCCATAGTCTGTAATCCGTAGTCGGTTGTTTAAAGTCGCTACATATGGGACATTTTGGAGTACCTAGAAATAAATCTGAAGATTCATTTCTTGAAATGGGATTAAAAATGAGCTTAAACTGGGGTGCAATAAGTTACGTACTGGAGGTACGCCAATATTACTATCTGGTATGTCTTTATTTTCAGCCACATACCATGTAGGTATGCAGTACACTTGGTATCTGTGTACTTATCTTTTTGGTACCATACGACCTTTCCAAGACCAAGGTATTCAATACTGTAATTTAATTGGTATATGTGTAAGTCTGACAGGTCTTGGTATGAAACATGATTGAAGTGATAGCACTTGGCATGTTGAGGTCAATTGTATTGTGTTTTGAATATACTTTTCAGAAACTTGTTCTTTACGTACTTTTTGTATAAAGACTAAGTACACATTAAGTATTGACTTTGTTCTAGCAGTCATAATATTAATATCAGGATACGAAATGCTTGAAGATGTTTGCAGTAATACACATCAGCTTTCCTATAAGGCCACATAAAAAATAGTTGGTTAGCGTCCTTAGCTTTCGCCAAATAGTGGGCGGGTGGACGCTTTTTAAAAAATTTTTACTAATTTTTAACGTCTTGGTTTTAGGTCCGAAACTGGATTTTCTTTCGCAGTGCAGATATTTTTTTATATATTTCAAAATATGATTCATACCGTCATTTTCGCAATTTATTAACACAATTGACGACAGTCGACAGAAATACTACATATATCAGAGCCCATTGATCAATAAAAGTGGAGTTTTTTGAAAATAAAAAATTAAAAAAATCCTGAGCGGGGCCTTTTCTGTGGGCCCTTTTTTGTGGGCCGACGAGGACACTAACCAATTTTTTTTTGTGGCCTAAGGTGGAACTCTACAGTCACGTTTTTTTTACGTGTACACAGTATAAGCTCAAATTAAGCTGAAGCAATTATTTTCACTTACGTCTTCCATTTATGTATTGAGTCAAAGGTGAAGTAAGTCAAAGTAACACGCTGGTTGTTGGATTAGTTTAACCTGAAAACATTAAAATATGCAAAAGCGGTCGGAATGATGGGTGGGGGACACTAATGTTTTTGCATTGCCAGAAAAGTGACTGTTTTGTCCCCATGTATATCATATTGGTATTTGACACAGGCAGGTGATCTCATGTTCGTATTTCAGCCAATCAGCCAGCGCTCAGAAAGGGTTGTCCGAATAGAAATCCATTTTGATGTATTCAGTCAATTATATCTTTCATTATTCTTTATGAAACTAGTTGAAATTTTGTAATTATGTTTGGTTATGAGAACTATAGCTCTGACAAAAATATGGAATCGAAATAAAGTATATTACAGGAGATATTCAGTTGTTTTAAAGGATTAGTGTCACACCGAGAATTTGCGGGCTCAAACTCCTGCTGGCAGCCATTTTTCGGGACGAATAGATTAGATGATCTGGAAAGTTTTTACAATCTGTCATATATTTAAACCATCCTTTTATAATACTTGCTCTTTTTGTGTGATTTTTATCAGAAATGTACCAAACAAGGTATTTTTATCGCTATTTGTTGTATTTAAGTAAAATGTAAACAATAACAAAAGCCTGCAATGCATGACCCTGACACTAATCCTTTAATCATAAAATGGATTTCTATTTGACAACTAGTGCCAGTACTTTTCCATGTATCAAGATCATCTCGAGTGTTTCACAAATATTCATAGGCTTCTAGATATATTACATCACACCATATATATGCATCATTTGAAAATCTGTATTCAGCTTTTGCACAAGGACTTCAGATTGTTATTTTGAAATGCAGACTGAACAGTCTTGTAAATTGACATTGCTAATTCGTATAAATAAAAGCAATCGAACCTTGATAGAACTCCAACAAATTTGAACCTTTGCTCAAGAAGCATTGACTGAAAATTGTTGAATACCCCACACATTGAATTAGTCAAGATGAGTCAAACAAATCAAGACAATGAGAAAACGGAATATTTCTTTAAACAGCCAATCAGAAAGCTAGAATATTGTGCAAATGAGTTAGACCCTGCAAAGATTAGTCAAAGCGCAAGTGAACCAATCAAATAGCTAGAATCTGCCTCAGATTAGTCAAAATTCACACAAATAACTGCTTTGCTTCACTATTTTTATGTTGGCTCAAATGCTGCATGAAATATGTAACTGGAGTATTTTTAAATATTAAATTATGGTGACCACTGCTGCTGTATAAATGTTTTAACTGAACAGTTCGTATATATTATATCTACACAATTTTTACCTTAATTGCATGACTACTTTGACTACCCCTAGATCCGCCTGTGTTTTAAATGGATTTAAACTTTTCTGTGTGTATGTACATATGTGTGTATGTCTCAAAAGTCCAACAGGATTTCCAGAGGTCTCTAGCCCATTTATATACTATCTTAAATATTCAACTTGTAAATACTATTTGTTGGGTAAATAAAACTAAAAACTATTATTATATACACAAGGTCTGGATATGAGGTATTCTGCAATCTGATTGGTTCTCTACTAGCAGGATATTAGCTCATATCCTGCTAGTAGAGAAAAACAAATTGGCGGCTCAAACTGAATTTCCGACATTTTGCAAACGAGAAAACGGCAAGTTGTTCGCTTTTTATAGTCTTGGCAGGATTAAAAACACAACGAAAAAACTCCCACAAATTGTTTACAGGTTAGCAAATGAATTTTTAAAATTTGAAATGGTTAAAAATATATATTTTTGAAAAAACAATTGGCCGAAAGAGCGAAGATAAAACATAAACAAAATAGAAAAATATTGAAAATATCTGAAAAGCAAAGTCTGTCAATTCAGACCTTGTGTATATAATAAAACAGTTATTCTACTGACTCTCGTCGAATATGAGCGATAGCCGATTCGGCGCTACGCCTCATTGGCTATCAGCTCATATTCGACTCGAGTTCATAGAATAACTGTTAAATATATGCAACAGTGGGGATCCATCTATAGTGTAAAAACAAAAGGCTATACAATGGGGCATAGGTGTATAAAGGCAGTTGGCTATATCATTGGCACCACAGTCATACTGTTACAGTACAGTGGAGATATCCCATAACAGTCTTGTTTTGTGTTCGTTTTGGTGGTTTGGATTACATATAAAAAGGTCCCTATTACTGCAATTTTCACTCCACCTTGAAATGTTCAATATTCTTAAATCAAACTTCTGTTCTTTTTTTGCTTTAAAACAAATGTTTTCCAGAGTGGAAGGCGGCTCCAAAGACATTTGACCTCTTGATGACCCTTGAAATGAATTCTTTCGAGTCTCCAATTTTGCCCTCTCGAACATCGGTAAAGGCCAAATCAGAAAAGTGGTCTGGATCCCAAAGACTGCTGAAGAAGGTATCTAAAACAGGGTCTACATCAAAATCAAAAGGTAACAACTTCTTTAATTCATCTCTGAATCCAGTACTTTGATATTGTCCATCAGCAACGATGCCCTGGCAGTATGAAAGTTCATCTGTTTCCAGTTCGTACGTTTTCTTCACCAACATTATAGAACTTGAAGCTAATTGGTTTGCATATGCACCTGTTACTGCAGTGTTATCGTCGTTTGTTTGGTAAACCGCAGGTGAACCAACTGGTACTGCAATACGTTTACCTTCATCATTAAAAACAATCATTGTTGCTTGGTTGGTTTCTTGTCCTGGAGTTCCCTTGTCCATAGTAAGAGAGAAATGGGGGTTTAAACCTGTGCATTGCAGTGGTGCTTTAAGCTGTTTCGATACCTCACCATCAATCCATGATGCAGCAACATCAATGATATTTTTGAATTCTTCCTTACTATGACCAAAGTCTCCGCAGTCGACACCGCACATTGCTTTATCTGCAACAAATTCAGGGTAGTTTTGGGCTGCAGCACAATTCTTCACAACTGCAAGAGCTGATCGTACTAAGACATTCATTGTTGATGTAGCTCGCGTTTGGATTCTTTGCATTTCTTTCTTCCACTTTATTGTCTCATAGTGGATCCTTGCACCATCACATGTGCACGAGACGTGAGTGATAATCCTATGTTTTGTTGTGTAGAAGTAACTATTTCCACCATTGAGTGAGTCCAGTGCATGCTCGTCGTCAAGAACAAGGCCCGTAGCAAGATTCCTGCTATATTTTGAAGCCTTTTTCGAACCTGGTTTGGATTTTAGGTAATTATGACAGGGTATCACAACGAAGTATAGCTTTTCCTGGTTATTTGTCCCCAATTTTCCCATCACCTACTGTATACCATAAAATTAATGTATATTCATAAATCTAATATATACGAGCGAGTTTATGAAATACAAAAGAGATAGATGCATCAATTGCTCTATTTTAAAACACGCTATTTCATATACGGGAGGAACAAAAAGATGCAATTTATGTTTGTGGGTAAAAATCTAATCTATAGTTTGATTGATAAAAACAACTATTACCTGCAGGAATGAAAACAATATCTTCAACATTAGCTGCAATCTCTGATATATCTGAATAGCTTTTGAAGTCGTATTTTTTTAAATTAGGATCTGACTGAACATGTACAGGCACACTGTCTGTTTTCCTGTTGGCATCCACCGATATCAATATCTTTTGCAACATACTCTTCATGTTTTCCATGTTTGGTTCTCTGTTTGGTATCGTTGTATTTGGTTCCTTCTGAAATGAGATACAGCTTTGTTGTTTGCTCTTTGCATTCACGCGCAGTGTGCTTGGTCCAGAATTGGAATGAATTCTGCATCTTTGAAGGCGGTTCATCTTCAGTGGTTTTTGGTTCATCAGGGCAACTGTTTGCCTCACTTCCAACGTAACTCCCTTCATAGGATGCATGATTAAGACCCGAGTCCCTATTACTTGATTTTGAACACTTGCCTAAACCTGAGGTTGCTGAAAGATTTTTTACCACCGCCGTTTCATTTTGTAGTTTACCAGTCAAAGTTTCGAACTTCTTGATATACTTTTGTGCAATTGTGCTATCATTTTGTACTATCCAGCTTTTTGAGCCGTCAGTATGTCTTTGATTGTGTCTTGTGATAGTAGATGTATTGTTTCTTGTCATCTTACTCTGCATAAAAGGCTTGTGATTTTCAAGACTGGTCATGCATAAAAATATATTTCTTTATGTTCCTCCAATGGTTTATCCAATGTTTTTGTTCTGTGGCTTGCAATTGTTTTCTTTCTTTCAAATAGGGATGCCCATTGTGCATTTATATTAACTTTCATGCCTGTGAGTTTAGAAAAAACTAGTCAAATTTCAAAACTATTCAGTAAGGGCACCAAGGGCCTCCTCTCCAAACATAAATCTTTCAGTTACAGTATGATCATAAGATTTAAAAAAATTGTCAAATTGTTTAAAAACACAAACTTGCTTTCAACTATTTTAACTTTGCCTAATGCGACCTGGGTGTATAATGCACAACACACTGTGCCACTATGTGAATACCATAATCACAAATGTGAAAATGCACTCGTTTTAAATAGACTTTATAATAAATTAAATAAATAAGTTAGTAACTCACCATGACCAAGAGGGGCAGAAAAGCCAGTTTGAGCTTTTTTATTTTCCTTGCATTTAAAACAAATGACAGGCTCATAGGCATACAGGATGAGGGGGCAGGGCGGGGGGGGAGCTGCCCCCCCCCCCCCCCC